ATTTACACTGTAATTATGAATGGTTTGTTCTGTGAGACAGTGTGATGGCTTCAGTACTGGCTTTTTGTTATAAATACAATGTCTTCTGGGCTGTTGTTTAAAGACTCCTTTGGAAGCCTGATTTAATAGTGGAGCTGAGTGAATAATTCAAAACCTTTTTATCAAGTCCTTGTTTAAATTCTTAAATGAGCTCACCATAACCTTTTTATGTACCCCTCCTGCATGTGTCATACAAATATTAGAATAATTGAATTTTACTAGTGCAAATGTTTCTGTGAAGCAAATTTTTAGAGCTTGATGTATGGCTGTTTATGTAAAGGGGAATGTAAAATCTCACACACCAGTGTCTATGCCAGAAACTTGTTCTGGCTTAGGGGGACGGGACCCTCTGCTTTGTTGGAGCAATCCTAATTGAGCTGGTTTGTCAGATTGACTCATTTTGCAGTTTAAAAACTGAACACATGTATTTAAAGGAATTTCAGAGATATCTCTCTTTCAGGCCATTCTACAAACAGTAGCAGTACTTAGTTTAAAATATTTGCCTTTTTTTTTTTTTTTCAGATAAGTACTATTTCTAACTCTTTTTCCTTTTCTCCCCCCTTTACATGAGATGAAACAGCACATTCAAAATGCATCTGCTTAGCATCACTGGGTAGCTTAACACAGGGATACAGACCAGAGAAAATCTATAGTCACCTTCCAAGTTTGGTCATCTCTTGGCTTGAAGTCCAGGCTAGAGGAGGGTGTCCCAGATAGGTAATTTGGGTGGATTTAGTATGGCTGCTCACATGTATTAATGTTTGCAGACTTGCTTGTAAAAGCTCATTAGTGTTAAGTCACTTTTGAGTACTGATGGTCTTTGAAAGGCAAATAATAGCCTTAAAACCAGGATATCTGGAGAACTGGTATTCATTCTGCTTCTGAAGAAAAGTGGAAGACTTGAAAATTGAAAGCCAGCTTGAGAAGCAGGGGTTGAGGATTAGGTAAGCAGCTGAGTGATGTTGTATTCTCAGTGGAGAGTTGTTGTTTAATTGATTACAAGAATTTAGTCGAGGCTGTTTATTCTGTTTGCACACAAACCTTCTCCTGTACATGCTCTGGCAGCCCTCTAACCTTCCTGGCACCGCCGAGCCTGTGCTGCAGCTTCCCTTGAAGAGGAGATGGAGAACTCATACTCTTTCAATGCATCACGAGTTTGCAAAGCCTGATTTGCCTGTACAGGATTTGCTCTCTGAATTTTGGATTTCTTTGCTGATTTTTCTGAACTCTGATGAAACCACCTTTAACCGTCTAAATGTCGTTGCCATAGAACTGCCCAGGAACGTGCTGAACTGCAGCCACTGGTAATGCCTCATGGCCCTCACAATGTATGCAGAAATCTGGAATTGCAGGCTTGTGTGGCAGGGCAGATTCTTGCAGTGACAAAGAAACTACTATTGAAATATTCTGTTGCCTTTAGTTGCAGCTATCCCAAGTCTAGCAGTACAGATGCATCTGTGTATCCATAGCCAGGCCTGTGAGAAACATAACATGGTCTTTGGAAGTAGGAACTTTTGGTTTCTGGGGTTATAAAGAAAACCCCGAATCCTAAACCCCAGCATGATCCCAACAACCAACCTTGTATTTGCAGAAGACGGGCAGTGAAATGTAAGAGTCAGGTAAACCTGTTCTTTTTTTGGCCTTCCTGAAACTGTCAGATGTGTAAAGTCGTGTTTTAACTGAACAAAGTTAGTTGCATCCAGCTCTATCACAGTGGGCATGGGCCTCTTGTTTGGTTTTCTTGTAGTCTGTCAGCTTGAGTGGGAAGACTGTTCAGACTTAGTGTGACTTCGTCACATCATCTGTTGCAACTGGTGCAGCTGGGTCTTAATCAAGCTGAAAAGGGACATCTAGTCCATGCCTCTTCATTTCTTTGTAATGCAGTGAATATGAGCTGTAATTTGCCAGTGTGGGTTCCTCAGACTTGAAAACAAATGAGAAGTTTTGGGTGGACTTTTGTGGCTTGTTTTTAATTAAATATTGGTGCAACAAGAGTTGTTTTGTGACAAGAAAGACCCAACAATCTTCCCAAACATGCGGAACAAGCAGGCTATGTCTTGTCATCCCATTACGACATTCCCACTGTAGGAAACACCCTCTGTGCTTTGATAAGCTTATCCTTATTCATAGTGGGAAGCTGTAAATTAACACGTACAATTGCTTTTGTGCATGAGGTTTATAACAGTACATTGTCTCTTCAGGTTTGTGTTGCAAAGCCTGTCTGAAGATAGGTGAGCAGTATTACCTGTATTTACTGTGGGGGAATCTGACACTTGGCAACATTTTCTGAGATACCCACTAAATCTGAGTGTTTGCAGAGTTTGCTGTAGTTTATGATTGAAATTGGTGATTGCAACAGGCAAGATTCCCACTGCAGCACAAAGTGGGGAGAGCAGATGCCAGCTGAGCTTTGCCTTGAGTGATGTGTCTGAAGAGATACAGGCTGGTGGCAGAATAGAAAGTCACTGTTGTCTCCTGATTCCCTAATTCTTTGATCACTGAGAAGAAATTATATGACCACTGAGCAAACTGGTCAGTACAGTTTATGCTGAAGTTTTGTATGGTGTATATTTATTATAATAACCTAAAGGTGAAATTGAATCAAAATAAGCTCTGGATTTTGTTGTAGCTTCTTGCTTTTTGGTTGCATATGGATATTCTGCAAAGCAAGAGGTAATTGATCAGCCTTGTCCCTATTTACTTAAGTACCTTTAATACTTCACCTATGGACCATCTTTGCTGAATCTTCATACTATGTTAGATTTGTTTATACCCTCTTTCTGCTCAGTAGAGATTTACACTCCGTCTTTGTCTGATTCGAAATGGTGCATGTTCAAAAATGCATCACTTGGCATTGAAGTCTTTCTCATTCATATAACAGTGCGCTGAAAAACAGTTTATTATTTTTGCTTATATTGATCTCATCTGGTGTTGTCAGAGGGGAAAACAGTTAATGACTTGATGTGTGTTCGAACTGGATGGAGTAATGATGAGGTATAGCTGAGTTATTTTCTTTCTTTTAAAGCTGCATTTGATTTTCTGCTGTGGATATTTTGATTCTTGTTTATTTTTCTCCTTCGTTTGGAGAAGAATAGTCTGGGAGAGGGGAAGGAAGAGGCAGGGTTTACCCCTGTAACCACCATTGTTAGCCCTAACTTTTGGTAGAGCTTTGCTGCTTTGGCTTGACCTTTTTAAACTTGAGAAATGTGTTTTTGTTTGCATTTCCATCTTGTTGCATTTAAAAACTATTCTAATTATACCAGACTGTTTGAACATTAATGGGGGAATGTTTTTCAGAGTCTTGATAGAATTTCCAGGCAGCTTTTCATCCACCAAGTACTATACTGGGCTCTCTTGTGGGGTTTTGCTTGGTTTGCCTTAAGAATCTGCAGAGCAACTGTTCAAAATTGCTGACACATGTTAAATAATTTGGAAATCACCATCCTTCTCCATTGATGTTTGAGAGTGCTCATGTTGGCAATAAGAACAGGATCTGACCCTGAAAATAATTTGTGAATAGTCTTAGTCTTGAGACCAATTACAGGCAGTGTCTTCCCTCTGATTCTGGCTAGTTTATCCTTACAGTCTTAGGTATTCTATTTTTTAAAAAAAATTATTTACTCAATCTCTTTAAAAATATCCTCTTCTGCTTTTTCCATGTATTTTTGAATTATTCAACCACATGTGTGTATTTGGTGATGCCAACTTAAGAGTAAAATGTAGTTGAGTATCAGGAGAGTTAATGCTACTTCTAACAGTAATGGTAGTGGTATAATGCTTATTAATGAAAAATCCATCATCTTCCACCTCCGTCCTCCACCTCCCTCCTCCAAACCTCTACTCTTCAACTTTGGAGCAGCTGTAATCAGCCTGTACAACTTCCCTTCCTCCTCTCATGAATAAATCCAACTACCTTATCTTCTCTATCAGAAAGTCTTCCTTGGCTTTAACAGCCTCTGGAGGAGCATATAAAAGAGGCTTTCACTGGCTAACAGGAAGCAAAATGAATGGAGGAACTTTTGATAATGCCCCTCTGTTTGAGGGGGGATCAGCCCAACTAAATTGTACCAGATTAGTGAATGATAGTGCTTCAGCCAGGGCCAGAATTATAAGTTTTTAATCTTGGAACAAGCAATGATTTCTTCCTCCTAAACAGTGGTCAACTCCCTCTTTGATTTGGAGCCTTGCAGTCATCCATATTCAGTTAGTTTGGATATGTGGTTTCTGGTTTCTTTTCTTTTTTTTTTTTTTTTTTTTTTCAGTCTGCATTCATGAGTCTCAACAAGCCTTGAGGGCTTTTTTTGGTAGCAGTGATTTTTGGTAAGACCTGTCATGGCCACATGCCATTTTTACCAGCAATTCACACTGTGCCTTTTATTTTTATGCGATAATGAAGTCTCGTATATCACAGCTTTCTTAATATTGTTCTGCCTTTTGCTGCCTCAGAGTCTTTTGCAATTAGCCCTGGGGTGATTTGGGTATTTTTTTAATAAGCAACATTTTTGGTTCTGGCCACCTTCAGCCTTACTCTGTTTGTGTGTTTGTGTGTGTGTATTTGACTCCTCACTTCTCACCCCACAGTTTGGTCCAAATTTTCTGATAATCCAGCTCGGTGGGAGGGAGAAATGACTGAAAATCTAAATGGGGCAGCTTAGCTAATTGCCTTAGGCCTGACTCGTCTGCTGGATAACACTAGTTTTATTGCAGTCCAACGTGATTGACATTTGGGGAATTGCACTGGTATAATGCTGGCAGCAGCAGTGAAAAATCTACCCTATTGTTTCTGATACATTTGCTGCCTGAGGAGCACCTTTTTGTTACAAATAACTATCTGAAATGCAACTAATGGAGTGAATGTACTTCTTTTTCTTTAAGTCACTGACTTTTCAAGTTCCTGAGGAAAAAAGTGAGAGCATTATCCTACTTACTAAAACTTTGCCTTTTTCTGTGGTTTTTTTCAGGTTTTTTTTCTTGGATTTTATTACTGGAAAACTCTCTAATGACAACATTGCTTAGGTAAGTGGAGCAAGGGTTTTTTCTGTGTCTTTTTTCTTTTTTTAAGAATCACTTCCCCTATCTTAACTTCTCTGTGTGTTGTGTTGTAACGTTGAGCTGCCAGCCAGCTGTGCTGCGTGTGCTGTGGTTAAGGCTAGAAAGATGTAGTAAACAAAAGTAGGGGTAGTGCCTCTAGTATGACATAAGGATCTCATTTATTCATTTAATCAAATGAAGTGGACGTGGTGCAGAATAATGAAATACAGCTTTCATCTGCATATTACTCCATAGTCTCACCAATTTATAAAAAAATTTTTCAGGAGATGCTCTGCTTTTTTTTTTTTTCCACTAGAAAGTAAACTTGCTGGTATCACTTAATGCCATTTTATTATGGAATGGAACCTTAATACTTCCAGATTTTTAGATACAGTTGCTCTTCCTCCATCCCTCTCTCTTCCCTGTTTCCCTCAACAGTTCTAGGCAGGAGTTTCTGACATGGAGAGATCATAAAAAGCTTCAGAGTTTTATATTTTTTTAGTCCAAAAGATGGAAGATCCCAAACAAATTTAACACTCTACTTTCGTCTCTATACCCCATCTATACCACTAAAATGCTAAATTCAAGTTGATCAGTGATTAACAGGGTTTCTGGGTGTTGATTGCAAGCACATGGTCTTTGCTTCTTCTAAATACCTTCTCAAACCCAGTTTCTGTGCTGTTCAATAGCACAGGGACATTCTCCTGAGTGTAAAACCAGTGCCACAGTGCCTTCAGTGATGGGTGGAAGAATTAAGTGTGCTGCTATACCAAAATGGACTTTATGTTCCTTTCTCTGTGATGGAGAGAAGATTTGCTTGACCTCTGATGCAAGACAAAAAGTTAATCCCCAGATACGCAGCTAATTTGATGTATTAGTTGGAATTGCTTGTGATTCTGGATGAGGCCAAACGGTGACTGCAGTATTCACACAGGAATATAGTATCCTAAAATCTGTGCTGACAAAGATAAAAGTGCTGCTGCTCTTTGTGAAGTGTCTGTGAAAGGGTTTTCTTTTTTCCTCTCTGCTTTCTGCTGCTGGGTCTGTAGCATCCTCGTTCCCTTTTCGTCTCCTTACAGTGGATAGTCAGTGTGGAACCTACTGGCCTCTGTACCTTGAGATGATGGACCTCAGTGAAATAAAATTGATTCAGTCTTAAAGCAGAAGTCTTCTCCAATCTGCTTATCCCCAGTGTTTGTCCCTCAGGAGAGGTCTTTAGCCTGAAAATCTCATTTTAGCCAAACAGAAAACTCCAGAGAGGCTTTTGGTTTCCCTTGAGGTTTACATTTAGGTAGCTTATCTGAATTTAACTCTCTGCCATTCCTTTGCTGAGGTACTGAACTCAGGCTATGTGGTGTGGCATGGCTTTTGTATTTTCCAGAAAGACACAGGAAGTGGCTGGTGGCCTCCAAGCTGTGGGTGCTCCAACAGAGGTGGACCTTGTAGTTCTGACAGATGGTCTGCCTGGTGGTTTGCTAAACTGCAAGCTGGAGTGGGCTGTAAGACAAAGCTGGATGTGCTGGCAGCCTTTGCATTTTACTAAATCAGAAAAGAGGCCTTAGCAGAGCCATGTTTAGTACGTGTCTGAGGGAGATTGTTGCCTGTGATCCATCACTGTGTTGCCCATGAGACGCTCTTGCCCGTCGCAGTGCACTTGTGGTTCCCCCATGTCTCCCTCAACTGCTTGAGGAGTGACTAATTTGCAGCCTAAGGCTGTATTTATTGATGCCACTGCCTGTCTAGAGGGTGGAGAGGACTCTGCAAACCAGGGAAGTATTTAGGCAGCAGTTTTAAATCCTTTTAACTTTGTATATTAGACACATCTATGAATATATGCAGACTGAGCTAATAAATAACCAGGGAATGGTAGTTAAGAGGAAAGGACATAATTAATTCTGTCATGTACTCTGCTTTAAAGTTGGGTCCAGAGCAGTAATGTGTTAGGTTGGGAAGGTAAACACTGTCATTATTCAACAACAAAACATGTACAAGGCTGACACTGTTTTCCTCCTTTTGATATAATAATTTTTTGCAATGGTTTGAATATCTTCGGTGGTCTGTGTTTGGAAGCCTGTTGAAGCCGTACCCTTTCTGAAGGGTCAGTACTCCTTTATTTGAATTGAGTTTTGTATTAATGCTGCTTTGCTGACACAGAAAGTGTGCTGTTCCAGAAGGCTCTTACTGTTTGCTGTGGTTGGGGTGCTTGGCTGTAATTCCTGCAATATAGTTTGGAGGGAGGTATTTTTGTTTCATCAGGTGATCCCTTTTCAACTCTCCACACTGCAGTGTTAACCCAGGTCAAATGTCTGTGTTAAAAAAAAAAAAAATCCTGTTTGTGGGGATGCTGTTAAAAAGCCAATATGAGTCTGTTAACTTGTTTATCTTTTTTTTTTTTTTTCCCCTCCCTCTACACCAGAGTGCAGAGAAAAGGTTTGACTACAGCAAATGCAACTTTACGTGGTCCTCAAGGTTAACATGTTTATTTTTTTTTAGTGGGGAAAGGAATATGGGGGAATCCTTGCTTTGCCTCTTAAAACATTTAAGGCTGGTGTGGGAGTGATGGTCTCTTAGCTAAAAGGAATAACTGTCATTAGTTGTCATGGTAAAAAGTTACCTAAAGCAAAGTAGTTAACTTTTCAGCTTGCGTGATAACTGATCATAGGAAAATAAACTAAAGTGATTGTAGTTTCAAGCTCTCCCCTTGTTATTTCTCACAACATAGCCTTTCCCCATTCCTTCACACTTCTCATTTTAGCAAATTTCTTGATGTGTAGTTAAACACACTGCAAAAAAACAAGCAAAGAGTTCATACACCTATTCTTGTCTTAACCGTGTTCCACACAACCCAGCCTAAATATCAGAAGATCACTTGAGTTTGCATAAGTGAAGATACATGTCTCTGAAAAGGCTTGGTGTTGTGCAACCTCTCGGTACCTCTTCCTGTGGAGTTTTCTTACAAGTTTTGCAGTTCTGGCTCTTCCAGCAGAAGTCTTGGTCAAAAAACACTCATGGAGCCACCAGTGGAATAGCTGATGCAGCTCAGCAGCCACCTCCTAAAATAAATGGTGGAAGGTTGCCTGTTTCTCTTAGCAATATTTTCTTTGGAAGACAAGCATCTCCTCAACATGTCCTTGGCTCTCTGTGTCTTCCTAGCAAACTATAGCACTGAATACTCCTCCTTCCACTGGTCACAGCTCAATTTAAATGTTCTTGATTAAAACTATTTCTGTGTTCCTTCAGGGTTTATTGCTTCTGATTGCAGATAGCTTGCAAAACTCCCAGGAGTTCAGAGCAGAAGGGAGTCTTTCCTTTGTAGGGATCCAAAAGAAGTTGCATGTTGTCAACTTGCACAAGATCTTTCTTCAAAGTATGAAAAGTTTTTTTTTAGGGGGAGGGATCTGTTAGAAAATTATTAGCCCTTGGTGGGTGGCATGAGCAGCATTGGCTGGAGGGGCTATTGTTCTGTGGTTCATGTGCTGTTTATTTTGCAGCCAGTGATCTTTTTGTATTGCTGAGGCAGATGGAGGGATTCCCAGTTCCACAAGCATAACCCTGGGAGAGATTAGTTGGTTTTAGGTTTCACCACTTGGATGATGAGGTTAGCCTGAGACAGAGATGCATCCCTGTGTGTGGAAATGGTCTTGGCCCAGATCTTGTCTGGCGATGTAAAGCCTGAGAAAGGACCAAGAGGTCAGCTTCAGCTTTTTAAAGAATGTGATGTATGTTCATCTTGTGGCATGCATGGACTGTGCTTTTTTGTTTCAAAAAGGGTAAAAAATTTAGTTACAAGCTCATGTGTTTTTTTTAAAATGCTCTAATTAGAGCTACAATTAGCTCTAAAGTAGAACCTACCTTACAGCTACATAAATATTTATATCTGTGATACTGAAACACTAATGATAAAGAATCCCAAGGGTTTTTTTTCGTAGCCACAAAGCAAAGAACACTTCTCTCAGTCTCTGCCTCTTAGCAGCTTTCCTCCACTTTACCTGATTCCCTCCTACCAAGCTAAGCAACACCTTAAATCTGAACACACCAGGGCTTCATTTTTTTTTTCTTGTATCAGTAGCAGTCTTAAGTAATTACTCTGCAGTTCTAATACTTCTTACAGAAGTGAGCTCCTCTGCTTGTGTCAGTTAGAGGTCTGGCATTTTGATGGTGTGTAGCAAACTGACGCTCTGAAACAAGCTAAAATGAACAGAAGCTTGTTTCCTTTTCGCTCACATGGGCACTTATTCACTTCCCCATCTGCTTCGACTTTGAAGACTGCTGAGGTTCTTCCTCTGTCTGACCCACTTGGCATAAGCTAGAGAGGATTATCTTTCTTCAATAGCCAAGTTTATAGGGCTTCAGCTTGTTCGTAAATAATCCTTAGAGTTTTCAGTGCTGCCTTTCTTCTTCTTTCCTCTTCAAAACTGACTTGCTGTCGTTTGTGTACAAATTGGGGAAATGCTTTTTCAGTCTCTAGATAGAGGGGAGAGTTGGTGCAGTCACTAGGCAAGAGGGCATGGAAAGTGCTCTGAGGAGGTTTCACTAAATGTCCACAATTTTAAATATTTCTTTTGTAATTTCTGTTTGTGGCCCTAGCAAAAGGGAAGATCATCTGTAGAGATCTTTGCTCTGCTGCTCCTTGTACAAACACAATTCCAGAGTACAGTCGGTATGAGACAAAACACAGGACCTGCATATAGAGAGGCATCTTCATAGAAACATGGAATTTTTTAATGTACTTGAGAGAAGGACAGGGTGTTGCTCTGTCTTTGCTGTCACACTTGAGTACCTGCACCAGTAATTGGTTTGCATGTGTGAATGGTTATTTTAGGGTTGCATTAAAACTCACTTTCAGCTTTACTGAAGGTAATTTCTTTTAAATCTGAGATGGAAAGTTGCAGTGTGGCTGTGTTTGGGCTCTTGGGTTACAACTGTGTTACATGTGCAACTCTTAGATACTTTGGGACTCTCTGCATGCTGGAGGTGATCCTTTC